GCTGTTTTGTGGTCCCGTTTTTATGCTTTTTTGGTTTGGTTTGCATGGACACAAATATGTGTGTGTATATATGTATATATGTATATATATATATATACACATACACACACACACACACACAGTAGCAGCTGCATCGCTGTCCACTAGGTGGCGCCGCGCCGCAGATTCCGAGAGGACCTGAGGCTGTTCTCAGAGGGGCGTCTGTGTACCCAGCCAGTAATCTTCACCTTTGTGGATGATTGTTTTCATGGAATATTTCCTGGAAATGACTGTTGTACAAGTTGAGTCTTGATAATATTGACACGCCACTATCTCCTGTCTAAACACTTCAGCCACAACTTCCAAAACTGGAAATGCAGAGACCGGCCTCGTTCATTCTTTTCCAAAAGTAAGTCTCTAGTTACAGTGATGAAGAATATCCTTCCTAATACTCTGTGGAATTTTCCTGCTCTTTGATTTCGTTGTTTCCTTTCCCCCGACTAAAAAAAAAAATCAGATTTTGATGAGTTGTTATTTACACACTTCCTGTAAGTGAATACCATGTAATAGAACAAGCTTGGTTGACTTCACTTAGAGTGAAGGAAGTAATGATCTGATGCGTGATCTGGAGAGTGACACTGGCATGCAAATATTATTAAAAATGAGTGGTGTATGAACTAATGAAACAGAGTAAGATAGCCACTTTGCTATATCATGCATTTGTTTTTATGACACATTTAATCATAATTTAATCATACTCTGCTATCCCCTAAAGTATGTACTGTAGGTATTATTCCTATGATTAACATCTCCATTTACAGGTGAAATTCTCAGGCGTAGAGTAACTAGGCCAAAGTCCTAAGAGCCAGGATGTGAACCCAGGGTTCCTGTCAAGTCTGTGCACATAGCCACGGGCTCAAGTCTTCCTCTGTAATACCGAGCAGGGAAGGATTCTAGTCTGGAGGCTCAAGGAGGGTTTATATAAATTAATGCTTTCAAGTGCTGTTAATTGAGCATCTACTATAGGGCAAGCAACATGCAAAAAGCTCAACATAAAGAAGAGTGATGATCCTTGACTGCAGTCAGCTTTCAGTCCAGAGGAGACTTATCAGGTCACCAAACAGAAACACAAATACACAGCCACAGAGCCACACATGACGAAGGCAAAGACCCGAGTGCTGATCTAAAGGAACATGGTCATGTGGTGGTGGCACAGGGGTGACCACTCTCAGGAATGCAAATGAAGTCTGCAGATGCAGGATAAGCAGTTAGCCAGGCACAGACTGGGGAGGAAGAGCTCGAGAGCAGGCTTGCAGGCAAGAGCTTGGGGCGGCAGGAGCTGGAAGAGAAGGTGCCACTGCCACAGGTACGTGAGGGGACTGTGGTGAGCGCCGGTCATGACGGGTCAGCCTAGAAAGACTGGACTTGTTCCAAGGTGAATGAGGGTTTGAGATGGGAGGGGTTATAAGTTCTTATTCACAGTCAGGATCGTTCTAGCCTATTGCTTATGAATTGAGATTGCTGCAGTGAAACCACAGAAGGCAGTCAGATGTAGCTTAGTGGGAAACTGGGATGATCTGGACCCCTGGAGGCTCTGGACATGGAAGAAGAAGGGGTCCTGCCCCATCCTGCAGATGTGAATCAGGAGCACAGCAGTCCTGGCAGGTGGCCCAGATGTTGGGGGTGAGATCTAAGGCTCTGGCTGGGCAGAGCAGTGGATGTGAAGCTCTTTGTGAGACAGAGGTCTGGGGGTGAACAGATTTTGAAGGGATCACAGAGAATCTCCCACAAACCCAGGTCCCCAAAAGGAGCTACCGGTGGGATTCAATCAGCTTACTTTTCTTCCTTTTTTAAAAGCATATTGTAAACTCCCTCTGAAGTAGCCTTCTCTTCTGTCTTTCAAAGCTATCATAGGGTCTTCCCTGTGGTGTAAGGGGTTAAGTCTCAGCACTATGGAACTCTCCACAGCCACTGCAGAATTTTGATCCCCGGCCAGGGAACTGACCCACATGGCACAGTAGAGACCTCCGGTCTCCCTGCTGCTCCCCTCAGCGGTGTATTTCAGTGGATCCACCTATTCTTCCCTCCCTGTCCTCGGTGAATCCTCTCATCCCCTGCACCTCTGGCCTACACCTCAGTTCTTCTATGACAAAATAAATAAAAGCTTTTCTTTAAAAAAAAAAAAAAAGGTAAATTGTATCTCCACAAAGCCCAGTTCCCAGGTGAGTGAGTCAGTGACTTACATAATCTCCAAAATAGGAGGAATCACCATTAGCACCAGGTGTCCTGGAGAAAAGGCGTGACGAGCTTACTAAAGTGCTCCTGGGGGCGGGCTGAAGGCCTGGGGGCGGGGTTACAGGCGCAGGGGCGGGGCCTCAGGGGTGGAGCTGCAGGTGCAGGGGTGGAGCAGGGGCGGAGTTGCAGGCACAGGGCGGGGCTAAGGAGCTGAGGGCTGTAGGAGGGCAGGTTGGCAGGACGGGGGAAACCAAGGATGACTTCACAGGGCACTTTCTCCCTGTTGCGATTGAAATTTAGAAAATCAAACTGTAACGGAGGCAGCTATCACATATTTCTGAACATACTGTTAACTTATACCCTGACGCCATTAAAACAGCAGATCGTGTTCAAGTGCATTAAAAACACGCTGAGGGAAGGAAAAAGAAAAATATCGATGGTTTCACGTATAGGAAAATGTAAGAACCAAATAAGACACGGGGGGAAATTATATTGATAGTACGGTAAGGTTCAGGAGGAGGAGCAAGGCTTAGGGCAGGAACCCCAAATCTGGGGCTGTTATGGTCTGCACGCCCCGAGCCTCCTAAGGTCTGGGGACTGCCTGCATTCCGGGGACTGGTCATTTGCATAATGAAGCAGCTTCTAAAAAGCAACTTCAATACTCTATAAAGATTTACCCTGTTCCCCACCGGGGTGACTTCTCCGACCCCCATGGGCGTTGCCCTGGAGCCCAATAAAGTTCCTACATGTCAGAAACTTTCTCTGACTCTCCATTAACTGCGCGGAACCTTTTAATTACAATGCAAAACACAACATAACAAAAACAATCTGAACAATTATAAACCAGAGATATCCTACAAGGGAGGGGGAGAGAGGGATTGGAAGGAAGGAAGGAAGCAATGTGGGGGGCTGTGGTGAAGACCCGCGAGCGAATTGTGGGCGAGGGTAAGTAAACATTGTTTGAAAGCGATCACTAATGTACATAGAAAATTATATAAATTATATAATTTAATAAATTAATAAAATTAAATTATATATAAATTAATAAAAAAACGCTCTGAAGACTAGTCACCGCGACCATAGACACTCAACAAACCCGCACTTGCCCCACAGTGAGAAAAAGGGTGTCCTGTTTCCCCGCGGGGCGCCGCCTCATTATTCTCCCTGTGGCAACGTTTCCCCGCCTCGCCACAAGGCGGCGCGCGCTGCTCCCGTTCCTGTCCTTTTGCCCCCGGGGCTTCTCCTTCCTCGACTCGACGCGTGGGCCTCGCCCACTCGTGCATTTCTTTTTGATTTCCGCCACTTCCACTCCCATTGTCTCTGGCGTCAGCACGTAATGACGTAAGTAAATACGGAAGTGATGTAACGACAGGGAACGGCCGAGGAAGGAGAAGATCGCGGCTAAAACCAGGAGCGTGAGGAGCAGAGCGCGCCGCCTGGTGGCTGGGAGGGGCGATGCGGTCAAAGCGTAGAATATTGAAGGCTTGGAGGGGCCCAGACCTGCCAGGGTAGCGCAACCTGGAGGATGGATCCGCAGCCCAGACTGGGCGTCAGCCGGCCAAGGAGGGGAAAGGGCACCGCTGAGTCACGATGGCCCTGGAGCAGGTGGCGGCACCAGGCAGAGAATGGGGCGGGCCAGTGTGAGTCCCAAACTTTGAAGATGGAACTATGGAATAAAGGGACTACGGAACTATGGAATAAAGGGACTACTCGCTAGGGACAATAAAGGGACAAACCGCTACTCGCGTTGAAAAGAATAAATTCATATCAGGGAACTTTGAATTTAGAATATTAGAATGTGGACTATATATATATATATATATATATATATATTTCTATATGAAAAGAAATAGCATTCAGCTTTTGAGAAACAACCTACGGAAAGGCTGTGAACAAGATAAAAATCTTCATTGGTAAAACACCAATCAGCATTTTGTTATAGTAATGGACAATTGGAAACTAGCTAAATGAAAAGCCCAGGAAATAGTTAAATACAGTACAATTTATACATAAAAGAAATGTAGTGTAGCGGTTGAGTCACAGCACTGGGAAGCTCTGACAGCGGAGTTCCAACCCCGCCCTGGAGGTGACTGACCTCCATGTCACAGACCTCTCCAGCCTTGCCCGCTGCTCCCCTCAGCTGTGTATCTCAGTCAATCTGCCTGTTCTGCTCCCCATTCTGTCTCTGGTGACTCTTCTCACCCCGCCCCTGGCCTGTACCCCAGTTTGATTATGCATAAATAATCCTTAAAAACAAAAAGACTAAGGGGACACAGGCTCGGCCGTGGCGGCTCCAGCAGACTCTGGGCACCCACAGCGGGTGCGCGGACAGAAGGGGATGGCCAAGGACACAGTACCCTGATGGGAACCACAAGCCTGGTCTTTTACTGGCGACCAGGAAGGCAAAGTCTGAACACGGAAACGTGGAGGATAGTGGGGACGCCATCCAGAGTCTTCCTTCCCCACCCCTCTAAGGATGCAGCTCCAGAACTTTAAGAGGAGGGTGAGTGTGAGGACCCACTTCTATGGGAACACAAGGAAGTTCCCTCCTTTACATCGCCTCCCTGAAGCTATTCTAGGGCACCCCAGTACTCAGGTGCTCCGCCCACCTGGTCATTATTCCTCAACGCCCAATTTACCCCGTCTCTAGGTAACGAAACCCTCCCGGAAGGACGCGCCTCTGACGTCACCACCGGGCAGCCCATGGCATTGTGGGAAATGTAGTCTCTCCAGGTCACACGCTCTGTGCCACGCTTTCTGGGGCGGCGCTTCCAGTTCTGCGCAGTGCGACCTCGCCTTTTCACCCTGTCAGGACGTTCCCGAGTCTCCACTTGTGCGGACCTTGCTGATGAGCCGCTAGTGGACTTTGTCTCGGAGACGGAGGTTGGGGGTGAGGTGACTGCTCAGTGCCAAGGCGCTGGTTGAGGTATAGGAACAAAGGAAATCCCAGGCGCTGCGGATACAGTAGATCAGAAGCTTCCTGTGGGCACCTGAGGGCAGGTGTGGAGGAGGGAGCCCCGTGGCCCTTTAACCTGAGCTCGCAAAGGGGGGTGCGGGTCAGACAGGTGGGGGGGGCTCAGGGGTGAGGGTTGGTAATGTGGGGACCCTGCCCTGAACACAGGGTGAGTCACTCCAGTTGACATCCCTTAATGTTTTCCAGATTTCTACATGGGATTGTGACGACAGTTGGGTGTTTTTGACCGGAATTTAAGAATTCCTCGCTGGTGTTGTAAGTTTAGATGCATGGGGCGTGGCCTAGGTCAGTCACCTGGCATTTTCTGTATAAACTCCACCCAAGGTTACTGACATATGCACCCCATCCCTGCCCCCGCCCCATTTTATTCCCAGAATTGGGTGTTTCTGCTTTTTGTGCTGATTTCCCTCCCAGTCCTTTGCTGGTGTTGCAGGATGTCACTGGGGCTGTGCTTATCTGGCGCCTGGACCAGGGTGGTGGGTGAGAATTTCACTTCCTTTAAGGGCAAATGACACTCAGAGTTTAGGACAATCCCACAGTCACATGATAATAAATAGAAAGCTGGAACCTGGCCTTAACGTTTGTTCATTCTCCCGCACAGTTCAGCCGGCAGGGCTCATGCATCTGAATTTCTAGTACATCTCTGAAGATGTGATTCTCCATGATGGCTTCAACGCCTTGGTCAATGTGAGTAATCCTCCTATTGCCCTTTGGAAACTACTGGATTCTTCACAAAACTGATAACCTGTACAACTTTGAATGTCAATTTTTATTAGAGATTTAGAATTTAGATGTTAGACAGTCCAGGTGACTTTAATATGAAAGGTTTAGGAAATATTTCCTGAATGCAATATTATGATAAACCATGTTCTTTTATCATTTTCGCAGCTTTTACCCTTGTTATCAGTGGCCTCTAAGCTGGAGACCATAGCATCACAATATACCCAGGCATGGATAGCATTAGGATCAAGCCCTTAGTTGACCAAGAATGAAGACACCCAAGTCATTGGCTTAATATACACTGAGGTTGAGTGAGCTTTAACTAGTCCCAAGATTATAGACTTGATTTTTCAGCTGACTGAGCTACATGACAAAGGAATGTTCGCCACCGGCAGCAGTATGCAGCGTCATATTAAGATAGGTTCATGACAATTCTACTGTCCACTAGTAGACACAGCACACAGCACGTGAGATATTCATGGGTTGGGTCTGGTCCACTAGATTAATTTCATGCGTCATTTTATCTTTTGATAAAATGTCCATCAGAATTTAGTATGGGAAGCTTTGCATATGAAAAATGTAAAATACTATAAAAGTATGTTATTAATGTTGTGAATAATAATGGTGATGGTAATATGGGCCTTATGCTCTAGTGAGTTCTGTCTGTGCAGGCAGCTTTAAAAGGGTTCTATCATCTCCTGTGTTCACACCCAGTGTCTCCCTTTGAGTGTACACCAGACACAGTGAGCCAATGTAAAGGAACAAAGACAGGGCAAGCGTGAAGAGTTGTCACTTCCAGCTCAGATGGTGAAAACACTGCCACTTCCATTTTACTTGCCACCTGCTCTTGCTCTGGGAACAGCAAGCTCTTAGTGTGAAGAAGAACGTGTACAGGCATTGCATTTCCCTACAAAAACCAATGGGATGGGCGTTTTATCGATAGTCATGGGAATGAGCATGGAAATAGGCCATCTGTTCCCTGCCCACAGCCCTGGGGTTGAGCCAGAAAACAGTTCCACCCTGGGTCAATCTCAGACTGACAGAGGCGAGGCCCACAACTCCACCACCACATTTGAGAGACCCTCAGCCTGAAAGTAGAGTGAGTCATGCCCAGATTTCTCATCCATAGAAACTATGAGTTAATAAATGCTTACTGAAGTCATGAGGTTTTCCAAAAACAGATTAATGGTTGCCAGAAGAGGGAAGAGAGACAGTGTGTCAGGAAAAATGGGCAAATGGGGGAAGATAGATTTGGCCTTTTACCAAAGGTATAGATGTGAAGTAATGTGTAGTAAATATGTACATGTTGATTTTCAATGAAAGTCACCTGGAGCATAAAATAGTATGATGCAATATTAATTCAAATTAAAAATTGCAATCGTCATTAACTTAATTTAGTTTTCAATAAAACTAAATACCAAAAATGAAGGGATACTAGTTATCAATCCTGAGGTATTAAAATAGCTTACAGATTGAAGAACAACATAGCCAAATTGCTAAAATAGTATGAATTGTTACCCTCACAGAGAGTGAGAGAGCAATAAAAGCACTGAGAAAAAACAATATAATGACAAATATTTCAATACCAAACTTTTATATTTAGACTGGCCATTCTGTATGATTCACTTTTTTAGCAGGTTATGTCTTTAAATTTTGGCAGGCGATTGATGGGGGGAAAGGGTTCAAATAGTAATTGAGAAATTAACATTGTTTTGTGTTATGAAGACATGACATCAGAATTTTAGTAAGATAGAATTCCCATCAACATAAATTTCCCAAGAATTAAATGTAAACCAAGAAATAGAATGCATCAGTTCAATACCACCCTGTATATCCAGACTAAAGGTAGAAGTTATACTGAGGTTAAAACAAAACATAACATCAAATGTACAATAGGACAGACATGGAATCAACCCAAATGCCCAAAAGTAGATGACTGAATTTAAAAGATGTGGTGCATATACACAATGGAATATTACACAGCAATCAAAAGAGATAAACTCATGCCTTTTGCAGCAACATGGATGGAGCTGGAAGGGATCATGCTTAGTGAAATAAGCCAGAAAGAAAAAGAAAATGTCAAATACATTTTCATTTCATAAGTTTACAACAGATTTAACATTTCTTCATGTGTTCAAATATTAGTAGCAAGTATATAATGACTAAACAAATATCCATAAATGGCTGAAATACTACTAGACTGTGAGTTTTTATTCCATTGAATCGTCTTCATCCAAAGTAAGTTTTCTTTAAAAGTTAAAAAAATAGGGCTTCCCCTGGTGGTGCAATGGTTTAAATCACCACACTATGAAGCTCTCCTAAGCCACTGACCCACATGGCGTGGCAGACCTCTTCTGGCCTGGCAGACCTCTTCTGGCCTGGCAGACCTCTTCTGGCCCACCTGCTGCTACCCTCAGCAGTGTATTTCAGTCCATCAGCCTATTATGCTCTCCAATCTGTCTCTGGTGAATCCTCTCACCCTCTGCACCTCTGGCCTGTACCCCGGTTCTGTAAGCAAAAGTGAATAAATCTTTTTAAAAAATGTAAGAAGAAAATAAGTGTAATGATAAAGCTTCATTTTTATTTTAGAATTAACAGTGCTTAATTTATGTTCTAATTCATGAATACTTAATTTATCATTTTTATTCAAATTCAGTTATTTTTAACTGCTGAAGCTTAGTTGCATAACAGCAATTCTACTAAAAAATAGGTAAATAATGCATACTAGTTTACTAAGCTCTGTAAAATATTAAATAGGCTTCTAGGACCTTTAAATATGCTTCTAGGACCTTTTTAGGAAGTTTGAAATCATTATCTTTACTGGATGTTTTTAAAGTTTATATTTTTTCAAGTTTTCCAACATTTGCACAGAAAAGTAAATATCAAAGTTATCTTTTTAAATTATTTTTCAAGACAAAATCTTAGGAATCTGAAATGTTTGAATATACATCTATATACTTTTGATAGTATAATTGTACCTTCAGAATCTATTCTGAAGAAGAAGTTTATACAAAATGAGTTATATAAGAGATTTTCATGAAAGCTTTTTTTAATAACAAGAAAATGAAAGTAACCAGTATGTCCAAGTCTTTGGTGCTCATTCAGTTATATTTGCTATGTGTGTGCAAAATGATGTAAGTACATAGAACAAGATGTTTTAAAATAACTATAATAAACAGTGGCAGCATTCAATGTTGCCGAAGTATTACAGCAATAGAAACTCTCCTTCCTTGTTGGAAAATCAAAATAGTAAAGCCACTTTGTAGGACAACTTTGAAGTGTCTTGTAAAGTTAAGCATACTGTAATCGTAGGATTCAGAATTCACACTCTTTGGTATATATCCAAAGAAGTTAAAGACTATATCCACCCCAAAATCTACATGTAATTTATAGCAGTTTTAGCACAGTTGACAACTCAGAAACAACAAGCTGTGCTATAGTAGCTGAAGCGATCCAGAAACTCTGGTGCATCCCGATTACAGCTCCTCATCATTGAAAACAAGACCCGCCACACCCGCAAAGACATGGAGGACCCTTGAAGGCAAATCAGTAAGTAAAAGATGGCAACCTGAGTAGACTACATGCTTCCAGCTCTATGACATCCTGGCAGAGGTATATCAGAGATGGGCTAAGGGTCAGTTGTTGCCAGTAACTGAGAAAAGGTGAATACAGTGCACAAAGGAACTGAGGGATGAAAAGAATTGATACGGTAACTATACGTCATTATGTATTTGTGTACAGAATACAGATCTGTAGGGCTGTCCCTGAGTGTGCAAGGAATTAAAGCACAGCACCATGAAACTTTCAGCAGCCACTGCAACACTGTTAGTTATCTGCTTCTTACATCAGAATAAACCAAAGGGACTAGAAGGGAGAAGAATATGTATGCTTCTTTCCCAGTCAACGAAAAGTAGAGAGCTCAATCGTTGAGTTGTCAGTGACAGCGTGAAAATACCTTGACAGTGTCCATTCTCTTTAGAGTGTTCAGTAAACATCGTTCATGGGAATATATGTGTCTATCCTAAGTCATGGCATGGAATAATGCTCCTTAAGCACTAAATACAGCACCTTGTAAAAAGCCATTAGTGAATTATTCATTCAGAATTCATATTAACAGGGCCTCCCTGGTGGCGCAGCAGGGTGAAGCGAAGCACTAAGAAGCTATCCAAGGCCTCTGCAGCATGAGTTTGATCCCCCAGCCAGGGAGGTAACGCACATGGTGTGGCAGACCTCTCCTGACCTGCACGCTGCTCACCTCAGCATGATATTTCAGTCACTCTGTCTGTTCTGCTCCCCACTCTGTCTCTGGTGAATCCTCTCACCCACTGCAACTATGGCATGTATCCTGGTTTTTGTGTGCATAAAAAAAATCTTAAAAAAGTAAAATTCATATTATCATAAATCAATTTTTGCACTGCATGACCTGCGCTACATCTGAGCTCAGCAACAAAACTAGCTCTCACATCGCCCTTGGAATGCAGGAAAGTCGGAGATTGTAAGGGGAGTGAAACAATAACAGATCATGGAGTCGGGGCACAGGTACAGTCCTGGCTCTCCCACTGGATGGGCTGTGGGACAATGGTCAAGCAACACTGTCTCAGCATCACTCTCCAAGTGTGAAGGGACGGTGAGCATGGTCCCATGGAACTGGAATGCACAGCTTTCTGCGAAGCATTAGGTGGGGCTTATTGCAAGTATGTAGATACAGAAGTTTAATTGTAATTGTTATAAAACTCTCATGAAAAGTTTTCTAAAAATTACTGAAAAACAGCAGCTCGATCCCCTCCCCAGTTACAAAGACCCCTTTTTTCCCTGGTTTATCACTTTGGTCACCTTCTTAAGCCCTTTCCTGTGTCCTTAAGCTTATGGAGCACAGAGGAGAGAACAGAACCATCTGCCCCTACGTAAAAGCCACATTTTGCCCCAGTAATTCCAGGGCCTGTACTTGTTGACC